GTAGTTTTCCGTCCGTTACTTACCGAGGGTATAGGTTTCTACGTTTTCTCTCTCCTCTCACTAGTGGTCAAGAAGCCCCCCTTTTCTAGGGCTACTGCTCTTAGTATTTATAGATGTGAGCTTTGTGAGCTGGCGATAAATGACCGTGGCCATGCTGAAGTTCCGTCCCCATGGGGGAATGACTGGGCCGTACCCTCGTAGATTAAATCGGACAAGAGTCGAGTCCTGTTACGAATAAGTGGCCATACCACTTCATTAATTATGTCTTAGCTCAGGACGAGATTAACTCCGTTAATTATCGTGGGGTCGGATTTTGACCCATACAATCACGATATCCATATCGAACAATGCACCTAAAAATCTTGTAATCATTATGACCAATCCTGCCAATAAGATATCTTTCATTTTTGGGAATGTATGGAACAGGCAAAGACTTGAAGGACACTAAAATCAGCACTTCATGGAATGCAGGGAGGTTGGTAATGAAGTGAGAGAAGAAAGCTGGGATTCCTGTCACAATATAACTATGAATGAATCCAATTCCGGGCACTCTAGAAACGCCAAGTCCAGGACTAAGTTCTGTCACCCAGTCCACGGTCATCTTGTTCTCTATGTCGAATTCATACTTTTTTATAGTACCATAGTGCCAAGAGACCATGATTGTCATAAAAATCAATGACAGAGCAACAATACACCAAGCTCCCTTGGAAAAGTTCAAGAAACATGATGATAGGTATATTGCCTCAATCAAACCAAACCCAAAAGAATAACAAAAAAAGGGACATAGGAGACGGAAAACACAGACGGTCCTNTACCCCGGTGCAGTAGCTATAATTAGCGACATAAGACAAGTTGTCACTAGCATTCCACAAATAACAGCTAAACCTGGGTGAAGATTGAGAGAAAAGTTTATGAGATATGATGAAAATATATTAGTCCTAGACTCAGAGGCAGACCCAGGATTTTAAAGCGTGGGGGCACCATTATCGATAAAAAATTGAGCAAGTGCCGGAGACGGGAATCGAACCCAGGCAGCGCACTAAAAGTCAAGTTGTGCCCGCCCAAATCGACCAATGCAGCTGCCTAGGCTTTGAATCTTAGGGTGCTAATTGAAATATATTACTATTATTTAAGATATATACTCATAAACACATACATTTTTTTCGAAATTACTGGGGGTAGGTGACCCCCTACCCTAAGGGTACGTCCGCCTCTGGTCCTAGTAACAATATGGCCCCTATAATTCTAATCCAATAACTAATATAGTGGGAGCCATAAATGCGTGCATTAGAAGCTTTACATGACTGTTTAGTGCTTAAAAACCAAGAGAGCTACAGTTTTGATCAATGTATAAAGCTATACCTGTAGCGTTTGCAATAGCTGATATGTCTCGAAAACCTATCAAGATTGCGAGGCTAAGGACCATGAGCAACCAATTTGCATCAGGAACATAAATCTGTCCATGTACTTTTTCTGATGTGTGGATAACTTTGACTCTGGGAAAGCAAGCAAGTGCTTGGCACTGGTTTATGATGGAAAAAGTTGCCGCAATGGTTGCTTGGCTACCCACGAGTGAAGCAAAAAGGGACAAAATTGTGAATATATGGTGAAGGTGTCCTGAGCATTTGATAATTGAGAATTAGAAATTTCAAAGAACGCGCACTACCATGACAACTATCAAAACCATTTACTAAACTTACTATGTGTTATAGATTCACTAAGATGAGCAACATCATCTGAAGTACCAAGGTGCTTGGAAAAAAATGCTGCTTGTCCAGCATAACATAATACAAGTGCTGGATATACCAAAAAGACAAACGTGACCTGCAAATATGGCAGATTTTATCGCCTCGTTCATGTTCCTACTTAAGAATGAAAAATGAATGTCATAAGTACCTTAATTGATTGCTTCGAAAAATGACCTAAATCTGCAAACATTGCCTCTGAACCTGAAGAATATTAGCCATCATGTATCCGAAAACTTTCTTTTCAAAAGCGCTAGTGGATAATTTATGAGAAGAAGGCCTTCGGCATCAAAATGGAAGTGAAAAACATAAGTTCCAGTTTAACAGTACAACTAACCTGCTATACATAAGACAATGCTGCTTAGAAGTTTCCAACTTGAAATATCTATTTTCTTAATAAACCTAAACATGTATGCTGGGGATATTGCCCAGAGGATTTGGGGATGATGAATTATATTGTACATGCCGAAGCCACTTATAAACATGAGCCATATGATGACAATTGGAGCAAAGATGACACCGATTCTGTTGGTCCCATATCGTTGCAGCATGAAAAGGCAAACCAAGATGGCACATGCTGCTGGAACTGGTATATCTGAAAGTATCATTTCAACGAATAATTAAGTAATAAAGTTGAAGTATCGCAAATAACAAACTACTTATCTTCCGAATATTATACAAAGCCCAATTACATAGGCCAAAACAGAAGGTTAGGACACTTACATCTCTTTAAATACTTGTCAACCGAGTGTCTTGCCTTTTCAGAAGAGGTAACTAACAAATCATAAATATGAAGTCCTGAGTATTATGTAAATATCTTGCATCATAATTATGCTGATTAGAATACAATTTCTTACATTGGGCTGCCAGTTTTGACAATGAACGTCTCAGATCTGATGTTGCTGATAAAACTGAAATGAAAACAGGAAGTAATGATCCTGATCATGTGAGATTAGGAGGTAATCCGCAAACTAATGAGGATGACAGTGATAAGACTAACCCGAAAGAGCAGGATCACAGATTATCATGCAGGAACCAAGCAAAGCCAAAAATAACATCAAGTAGTGGCTGCTTTTATATCTTCCAGTTGCTCTTCTTGCCCTTGATTCCACCTTCATCTTAGAAGGGGTTCCTTCCTCTTGATGCATAAGTTCCGTAGTACTTATATCACTCGGAAGCAGTCCTACATTGGCATGCCTACAGAGTAGGGAATACAAAGCAAACGTACCACCTGCAACAATTCACTACTTTTTAGACATACATGGATCTGTATCATATGCAGAGGCAGAGCCAGGATTCTAATCTTACGAGTTTGGATTTAAGATGTCAAGTTCACTTCAAGTGCTAATGATTGGGTTCCAAAATTTAATATTTATACATATATAATAAATTTCTTAACAAAAAAAATACACAGTTTGAGCAAAAGCTACTAGGTTTAGCCGAACCCGTAGCTTAGATTCTACCTCCGCCCCTAATCATATGAACAAATCAAATCTTAGCCATTAAGTTTTTTACATTACCTTCTCCGTTATCATCAACCTTCAAGACTACAAAGGCATATTTGAGCAAGGGAATGATGGTAAACGTCCAAAAAACAAAGGAGAAGAGTTCATATATCTGCTGTCCTGATTTGATATCGCCAGGATTAATTGAACAGAATGCATACAAGGGAGCAGTGCTTAATCGACCATATACTATTCCCAGGGTTTGAAACGATAGAACAACGGTACGCCTCCATGTCTCTTTCTGCAAATTCACCACAGACATAGGAATAAAACATGAATATGACTTGTAGCATAGTTCAATCTATTATGTAAAGACTTTCACAGAGCCATTTTAGCTTTCGAAGCTCAATTAGATGGAGTGAAAATTGAAATCTACAAAAATGGTGCATTTTTGTATCTTCTTCATGGGGGCATGTTATCACCAATTATATATATATATATATATTTTCGTTTTCATATGTGCAGTCGTGGATATACTACCTATACAATGAATATCGACTTCCAAATAAGAATGATCATCAATCAGAAAGAGTGGGAGCTACTGCATAGATAAATTTCATAAATTGCACCGCAAACTGATCCTCTCACTGGGCACTGAGGAGGTTTGCAGGTTACAGCCAACCGCTTTCCCTTCTATATGATTTTGTTCTCTTATCAAAATACAGAAAGTGCGTTCTTTTTTCCCTTTCCAAAGTTAAAGGTGTTTGATCAAGTAGGAAAAAAAATGTGATTTTGAGTAGAATTTGAAATAATTTTTGAGAAGTCAGAAAAAAATAGTTTTTTTTTTTAAAAGTATTTTTTTGAAAATTATTTTTGAGAAAAATATATTTAGAACTACTATTTAAAAGCTTGGTAAAATACTAATTGCTACTCAAAAATGCTTTTCAAATTAATTAACCAAATACAAATTATTTTTCACCAAAAATTCTTTTTTGAAAATCATTTATAATAAATAAATTGATTTTAGAAGTTTGGCCAAACATGTTAGGAATTAAGTTAAAAAGGTGTTCAATTGAATCTCTTGATAGGTGTTAATCGGGTCGGGCTGACCCGTTTTCAACCCGCTTCAACCCGGGTCAGCCCATTACTGTAGCTTAATGTGCGGGCTGGGACGGGTTGGTCGGAGGCGGGTTTTGGACGAACATATTTTGGATAACGGTGCACCGTACCCGCTAAGCCTATTAACCCGTTAACGGACTGCAGCCCGTTATCAACCCGGTTACCGTTACATTTTTTTTTTTTAAAATTATTTGGACCATTGCCAACGGTCAAAATTTAATTAAAAAAACAAAAGGGTTAAAAAAACAAAAGGGTCCACAATAACCCGAAAATTCCCAACCCGCTACCAGCCCGTTATCCCAGCCCGCTAACCAACCCGGTCCGATAATGGACGGGCTGGTTTTTTTTTGTTCAACCCGTCCTAGCCCGCACGATAAACACCTCTAATCTCTTCCTTGAAAAATTTGGAAAAAACAAATTTTTTTATTATATGTAAATAGTTGAATTGCCTTGAGGTGAGTTTTTTTTTCTAATAAAGTGATAAAGCGATTTCATAAATTATTTTAATCATAGGTTCAAATTTCAGGTGGCTCTGCCACTGTGCGCGAGGTCCGAAAAATAATGGGTGTACATTGAATCTATTGCAAATAATTTTACTTTACAATTCTACACGAGATTATTTTCACAGCTTGATCTAATAACTTTTATATGATTGAAAATTCATTACGAGATATGCGGCACACTTACCTTAATAGCATAATTATAATGAATGGATGTAGGGCTGAGCGAAGGATCCATATCTCAGTTAAACAAAGCAGGAATGCAAGATAGCCTTTGACAACTTTAAGATATCAAGTGAAAGAATTAAGAACATTAAACATATAAGGCCTTGAGAGGAATTGACTACCGGCTGATACAGGGAGACACACGTTAAGAACAAGGTCCAAAACTCACAAAGGAAGAACTAAGGTATTTTACTACAAAAATGTTACAAGTGTACACGCATGTCATTTGTCTAAGAGTAACTTTCTTGTTGGAGAGTAGAACAATTGAATTAATGCAGGTCATATCTCATTAGCCAAAACAAACAAGGAACCCCTTTTTTAATGCTCTGAAATTAATACGGCAGAAAGATTCTAATTAATTAATTATAAGTGGAAAAAAAACTGAGAATGAACTTTGGTAGGAGTTTGGTTTGGACTAAAAGGAAGATTGTTTTTTTATTATTCACATGCGATGCTGACTGGTTGACCTAATCATTTTCCACTGTATCTATTCATTATCGATTATGGAAATATTGTCTTTTCTCTTTCGTATTTTTGGTCAAAGAAAAGGGATAATGGTATTTTATTTACTAGTTTAAGTTCTATATACTAACAGTGTAAAAAATATTTGCACAATTACATCTCTTATAAGGTAATTATAAGTAATTTATATAACAAACATTAATTGGTAACATTGTTTTAATAATTACTAACGTGTTAACACATGATATTGATAGTGCGAAAAAGTATTAACACTATCAACGTTATAAACGTAAATGGTTTAGTATAAATAATTACCTGTTTCGTCATTGCTGACTCTGTTTTTATAAAAAATATGGATTGACTGATTTTATTATTTCAAAATCATTGCCGAACAAAAATAGGTAATGACAACTACAAAGTGACAATTGAGCGACCAGTGCATAACCAGACGTCTCCATTTGGAGAAATACCAACTTTCCAACACTAAATTTCATTCTTCGGACAAACGATTGTATTTTTGTTTTTACTTCAAATGGAGATCCGATATTCCCCGCAACATCTGGACTAGTCAATCGGATAGTTTATTTTCTCAAGCCTGGAAAGCTCCGTATGTACTGTTAAATGAGTTCCTGTCTTCCTGCGAATTTGCCATGGAAGCTAAAGAAGAATATTATAGTAATCAGTATTATGCTAATATGATCATTGATCACATATATCCAGTCTTTAAGTTCTGATAACTTCTCTGGCAAGCTGAGGGCAGATTTGAAACTTATGAGTTCGGGATTCTAATCCTTTTGAATTATTGGGTTCGAATATAATAATTTGTACATATTCAATAGAAATATAAAGAATTATAAAGAATAGATAGAGCCTTCCATATGTATGTCACCAGGTTGATTTGTACAAGGACATCTGAGCTCGTACATTCTTGCTGAAAAGCCATCCCATCCATCAACTTCCGTAAACACTAAGTACTTTTCGCTAGGGGTGTCAACGGATATTCGAAAACCGATTAAATCGACCGAACCATACCGGACCGAACCGATTTTTAGGTTTCTTTTAAAAAGACCGTAAATTTTTATATAAATCTATAACCGCACCGATAATTAGGGTATGTTTTTTATTTCATAAAAATAAAGCGAAAAAAATACCGAACCGTACCGAATAAATTTTACATGTGGAAAATATATTTATATAGTAAGTTTAAAAATATTAATGCATTAAATTTTTCTTTGGGCCTTGGAATTTTGAAAACTGTTACAAATCAACAAGTAATTAAACTCAAAATACTACTTCCTAAAACCTATTATGCTAATTCTACTTAAACTAAGTTATTTCAAGTATCTTAGCAAGACATAAAATATTCTAGCGATTTTGAGTAACAAACTATAATGTATTGAATATGTTTCCTTTCATATAATTTAGATTTATCTTTTTGAATATTTAATCTTCTATAGACTTTATTCTTGAGTCCTAGCTTGGTTAATATCTTTCCACTCGTGTGATTTATATTTTCTTTGGCTTTGCTTGGTTTTTTTTACATTGTTGCAGAATAATTGATGGATCTATACTCTAGCCATCTTTCATTTTTTTAATTCATCACCCTTTAAACAGTAAAAATATCTAGAGAGTTTTGTTACGTTCTATAAAAGAACATATGTTATTGCATTCTACTTCTACTGGTGACTTCTACATAATATTTAAAAAAATACCGAAAATTAACCGAACCGTACCGATACCGAAGAGAAACCGACATGATTGGAACGGTTTCGAAAAGTTTAATTCCGGTTATACATAATAAAATAACCGAAAAATTGGTATGGTACTAATTTTATAAAATAACCGGCCGAACCGAACCATTGACACCCCTACTTTCCACCCAAATGCTACAACCTTTTTGTCTCTGCCAAAACCAATCTCGACGTGCGACTTGGGAGAAGTTCTACAAACAAAGTCAGTATATTACCCACAAATTTACAAGCTTATAGAAGGAATGAAGAAATGTAAACAGAAAAGTAATAGATACATGGAAGTTAGCTTCAGCCTCTTTCTTTGATGAGATTCAAACAGCAGGCTATTAGAGACGGGAGAAAAAACTTAGTACTATGGGTTATTGTGAAAAAAATGCTACCAAAGCTATCACCCTCTTACTCTGCAACTGCAACATCAAGAATTCTTGGTCCATCCTAAACCCCGAGGCTTTCGAAAAATAGACTACACTATAGGCTTCCAAGCTTTTGAAACTGCAGGAATGCCTAGCCTGCAAGACACCATAGAGACGGGAGCCTTTCTCAGTTGTTGCTATGCCTTGAGGAAATAAAGGATGATCTTGTCTAACGCTTGGATAAATGCAATTTTTTTGGATAAGTAACTATTGGGATAGATGTAAATTAACACACAAGAAGAGAACCAATGTACCAATGTGGCGTAAAGCTTAGGTCTACATCTTCATTATTAGAGCATGCTGTAAGAGATAGCAATACTAATAATGAATATATATCCATATGATTTTGCATTCAAAAAGATAGACCAGACTACAAAATAGTTCCTCGTCCATGTCAATCAGCACATGAACATTGAAGCTGCTAAGATCTTTGCTAAACACCCTGAAGAATCATCTTTATTCACTTTTGTGTTCACGTGCAAGTGCATATGTCTCGGGGTGTGTGTGTGCGTGTTTCGAATTTTCAGATTTTTTCTATAACACACTGCACCTTCATGCCTATGTGCTTCATAAAAGCTTCAAATTGGTTTTTTTCTTTTTTTTTTCTTTTCTTTTTGGTGCTTCAGAAAAGGTGCTTCTTTGAGCTTCAGAAAGGTACCTTCTTTGATCAGATATCTGGTGTGGTGTGGCGTTCCAAAAAGACTTAGTTAACCACTTTATCATTCACACCGACCAGCTAGTTCGCTGTCACTTGGTATCGGATCTTTTCCAAATGAATCATTTGCCCTGATGTCAGCCGTGTGGAAACTGAACCAAGGTCAGGATTGGATGACCTGGCTAGTGACATGCTTAAATTAATCCCAACTCTAACAAGAGATTCCTTGAGTCCTTAAACTTAAAAGTTCTCTTTTCAAGCAACCTATGCTTCAAGTTACACTTCTTATGCTTCACATTAGTGATTTTCTTTCCGCACCTCAAAGAGAATACATAACCAGAATGTAGCTCATAGCTATCACCAGCATTCACCGACGTAAGCAACAGCCTGTGCCCCTGTAGTCAATGCCTCAGTCATTTTTTGCCTGTATATTTCATCTTTCGCTAAGAATATTTGATAGATATGCCCACAGAACTTGTTCCACTAGAACAAAACTCTCTACCAAAACCCTCTACAAGAGCAAGATCCATTCTTGATATGATGGAAGCGACTTGAGTCCCTCAATATTATTTCATGTTCAATAATCTTGGAGATGTATGTCATTGCAGTATGACAGTCCCCACATACTCGCAGATTCTTGGTTATTCTAATAGGCACTCCAGGAGCTGACGTGAGAATGCCATAAGCAAGGGCCAGCTTTTCACTATGTTCAACAAGTAGATCGCCTTTCTCTTCATCATCTACATCATGAAGTGCAAAACTTGTCTCCGGAATATAGCCCATTGCCTTGATACGGTGAATCAGGTCTTCTAGGAGATTGTATATCTTTTCAGACATTGGATGAGATCTGTCTCCCACAAAAAATGTAACAGTCTCCTTCTTTCCTTGAACCCAACTACATCCAGGTCTCTTCCTTATGCCAGAATGTTTCATAAGAGATCTAACCTGAGCCACATCTTTCCAACGTCTGGCATTAGCATATATATTTGACATAAGGGTATAAGACCCATCATTATCAGATTCCAGTTCTGACAACTTAGCAGCAGCATGCTCTGCAAGATCCACATTTTTATGGACCCTACAAGCACTAAGCAGTGCAACCCATACTACTGAGGTTGGTTCCATAGGCATGTCTTCAATGAGCTTCATAGCTTCATCCAATCGACCAGCACGACCCAACAGGTCTACCATGCAGGCATAGTGTTCAGCCCCAGGAACAACTCCAAAATCTCCATTCATGTTGTTGAAATAATTCATACCTTGGTCAACCATTCCAGAGTGGCTACAAGCATATAGCACAACAAGAAAAGTTACACCATCTATTGGAAAACCTGCTCCTCTCATCTCGTCAAAAATTTGGAGAGCCTCCGCTCCACGACCATGCATCCCATAGCCTGTCATCAAGGATGTCCATGAGACCGTATTCCTCTGGCTCATGTTATCAAACACAACTCGAGCTGCATCAGCATCTCCAGATTTGGCATACATGTCAATAAGACAGTTAGCCACAAAAACCATTGTAGGTTCATATCCTTGTCGTAACACATATGCATGAATTTGCCTACCAATCTTAAGACTAGACAGACGAGCGCAAGCTACCAGAGCACAAGATATGGTATATGCATTTGGGATTACAAAATACTCATACTTCAGCATGGCTGAAAAAAGTTCTAAAGCATCATTAGCATCCCCATGTTGAGCATATCCACCAATCATGACTGTCCACGTAACAACATTCCTATCTCTCCTGTCAATACTATCAAACATGGTCTGAGCAATTTTCATCTCCTTGCACTTTGCATACATGTCAATCAGAGCATTAATCACCATGAGATCCTCCTCAGGATTCCTTCCTTCCAAACTCAACATTCTCTTAATGGCATAGCAATGAGTTTCCTTCCCTTGAAGCAGTGCTCCGATAGCAGCACAACCTGAAAGCACAGAAACAAGAGTGATAACATTTGGTTCTGCCGCAGAAAGCATCATCTCCTTAAATACATCGAGAGCTTCATAGCCTAAATCCCTCTGTGCATACCCTGCAATCACAGCACTCCACGTTACAACATTCAATTCAATCTTTTCCTCCCTCATTCTCTTAAACAACCCCAAAGCCTCATCAAATTGTCCTATCTGAGAGTACGCAGTTACCAATGCATTCCAAGAAACAACATCTTTCACCTCCATTCGCTCGAAAACCTTGTTAGCATCATCCAAGCGCTTGCACTTCGCGTACATATCCACAATTGCATTCCCTACAAAAACATCCTCATACAAACATCTCCGAATCGCATAACCATGAAGTTGTTTTCCTCGTTTCCACGCCCCCAAAGAGGCCGAAGCTGGAAGCACATTAACTAAACTAACAGCGTCAGGACGCAGCTCAAAATTATTTGACGAAACCATCGAATCAAACAAGTCCAAAACTTTCCTATCCTCATCCTTCTGTACATAAGCTGCCGCCATCGAATTCCACGAAATAACATCAGCAATTCCTCTCACAACCGTTTCATCAAACTCCTGGCGTGCATGACCCAACATCCCACATTTCCCATACATAGCAATTAGACCATTGCATACAAACACATTGGAGTCTAACCCAGATGTTAAAATAACGGCATGTACAGATTCACCGAAAAGGAGGGACTGAAGCTCGCCGCATCCTTTGAGAACATACGGGTATGTATAACCATCAGGGTTCCAATTAAGTCTTAACATTTCCCGGAAGAGGGCAAGGGCAGTTACGTGATGTCCGAGAATAACGCTGCGTTTGATAAGGTTGTTCCACCAGAACACTACCTGGGATGACCATGTTGTAGGGTCTGCTGAAGGTGAAAAGGCGCCCGTAACAACGAGTTTGGCTTTGATACAAGACTTGCATTGTTTGAGAAGGTGAGCGAAAGAGGAAGGAACTGATGCCGTGAGGAGTGATGTTGATGAAGAGAAGAAAGCAAAGAAGGAGGTGGTTTTGAAGGGAAAGTGAAGTAGGGTTGTCTCTGAAAGTTTTGGAGGCAACGACGAGGGAACAAGCATACTCCTTAACTGCTCTTCTACTTCAAAATTGATAAACGGAAACTTAAAAACCAGCGGCTTCCACTTTTATTAAAAAAAAATGGAAATTGTGCAATTTTGCCCCTATATTATGCTTTTTATCCTATTATACTTTTGTCATTAGCAAGTCGTTTCTTTGCAATTAACAAACTCCCGCGTGAATTACTCAGACTCCACGTATTCAGATTCCATATAAAAAAAATGGTTCAAATTTATCCTTAATTTTTTATATTTTAAAATTTACAGATTGAAGTTTCATTAGGGGTTAAGGGAAAAAGACTTTTTCTTAATAGTGAAATAATATTAGATCAAAAGTTTAATAGCCGGTAAGGTTGCACAATTTAAATAATACACGAGCAAATTTTATCCTTTTTCTATTTCTTTTCTTTCCTTCAAAAATCATGAGAATTACTAAACCTTACCCGATGAGCACGTCAAATTTAATTAATTAACATGCAAGTCTAGGTGAGTTTCATTGCGAATCAATGCTATGAGTACTAAGGTGTTCTATTATAATAGGGAAGATGGTTACATGAACTCACCTCTTACCATAAGCACAAAATTTATCTAGGACCGTATTTTATAACTTGGAGGAATTTGTCACTATACGACCCTATAAAAGTGGGGACACGTATTCCAAAAAGTGTTGAGTGTCAAAAAAAACTCCGCATTAAAAGTTGATAAAAAAATAATCTATATATAAAGTGTATTGATATTATTAATGGTGTGCACTCTTTTAATAAAAATCGTGCAAACTTGAGCCAGGACAATGTTATACTAAGAGTGTCTTTAGATTTACTATCTAGTGCAACTTGTGTCCACTTATATTTGATGTCTAATTAACATAATGATACAATAAAAGATTAACAAGTTTATTATGTTACTCTAATAAACCGTTACATATTTACTTGAGGTATAAACACTACTGCTGGCCAAAATAAATAATTATATAGCGCTGAATATAGATGTAACGACTCGACTGGTCGTTTTGCTTTCTAGAACCTCATTCCCCTAAATAAGACTTCCAGTACTTGCTTTTATTGATTTATGACTTGCGGGGATCGTTGGTTCGAGATTTGGAAGAGTTTGGGTTGAAATCGGAACACTTGGTTCTTTAAGGTTGGCTTAAAAGGCCAAGTTTGACTTCGGTCAACATCTTGAGTAACGACCTCGGAATCGGGATTTGATAGTTCCAATAAGTTCGTATGATGATTTCGGACTTGGGCGTATGCCCGGATTGGGTTTTGGATGACCCGAGAACGTTTCGGCGCCTAATAGTGAAAGTTGGTTCTTGAATATTTAAGAAGTTCTTTAAATTTGATTTAGAGCGGGTTTTGGTGACATCGTGGTCCAAACAGAATTCCGAGACCGGGTATAGTTCCATAATGTCTTAAGACTTACACTTAAAATTTGGTGTCATTCCAAGTAGTATAAGTACGTTTCGGCGCATTGGAAGTAAACTGAAAAACTTGAAGTTCATAAGTTTGATTCAATTGGTTTTAGGGTGTGATTCTTAGTTTTAATATTGTTTCGGGCGTTCCGAGGGTTCGAGCGAGTCTGTTTTATGATTTCAAACTTGTTGGTATATTCGGGCGGAGCCCCGGGGGACCCGAGCGTCAATCGGACGAGGCTCGAACTAAGTTGAAAATTTGAGAAAGAGCTGAAGCTCCAGTTGTTGTCATAACCGCACCTGCGGTTGGCCAGCCGCAGGTGCGAGCTCGCAGGCGCAGTTAGAGCATCACAGATGCGGCCTAAGGAGAGGAGCCCAGGTTCCGCAGATGCGGCTCCTCTTCCGCAGAAGAGGAACCGCAGGAGCGGTCACCTGTCCGCAGGTGCGGCTCCAGCTGGCCCAGCCCATTTTCGCAGAAGCGGACAATTGTCCGCAGATGCGGTCAACGCACCGCAGGTCCGGAAATCGCTGAAGGTAGTGGCCTTCATCTAATACGGGAGTTAGTCATTTTTGGCTCATTTCACTCCATTGTTGGGTGATTTTAGAGCTTCTTGAGAGGGGTTTTTCACCAAGCTTTTGGAGGTAAGTAATTCCTACTATATGTGAGTTAAATACTTAAATTTTGGGTAGATTAACATGTAAAGATTAGTGAAAATCCTGGGATTAGAGGAAAACCTAGGGTTTGGCAAGAATGAGATTTTACCACGAAATTGACCATGAAACTTAGTGATAATCGCATATTTATGTTCCTTAAGTCATGGGTAACAACTTCCTTCGAAAATTTCCGGAATTCGGGCACGTGGGCCCGGGGATGAATTTTAGGAATCTTGCATTTAAGGTTGGGAAACTACTTCAATAGTTAGAATATGAACTCTTAAGCATATATTGATTAGTTTTTACTCCATTTGAATAGTTTTGGATCGTTCGGCTCCGATTTGAGGGCTTGAGCACATTCTTGAGTTTGGAAGTAAGCTTTGGGACAAGGTAAGTCTCTTTTCTAACCTTATAAGAGGGAAATTTCCCCATAGGTGAATCTAATTAAACATGTGGGTATATGTGGGGTCTACGTACGCACGAAGTGATGAGAGTCCGTACGTAGCTACTATTCCTGTTATGTCCGGGTAGTTTAGTTTTACACCATGCTTTGTGAATACCGTTATTTGACGATATTTTCTCTTTGTATTAAATGATACTGAGTTGAGAATTTCTAAGGATTTTAAAGCTTCAACTTGAATTGCCTTCTTCTTTAACGAAAAGAATTTAAGAAAAGAATTTGATTTAAATGATTGAATAATATTTGACCGCGTCGCATCAATGATTCGCGAGCGGGGTGAATAGATGCATCTATGGTTCTCGCCATTCGACCCTCCGGTAGTGCACATTTTATTATTATGTTGGATCGCGCCGTACGACCTCGGCATTACTTGCATATGCTACTTGCTTGGAACTTTCTGTGATTTGGACTGCTTTAATGCCTTGAAATGTAAATTGTTAATCGATATGACCAAAATTGAAATTTATTATGAAAGAACTTGTCACTTCCTATTATTAATTGTCGGTAGTATTCATGACAGCCATGCTTAGCATAACACTTAAATTATATTATTGTTGGCCCTAGTAAGTGTCAAGTCGACCCCTCATCACTACTTCTTCGAGGTTAGACTGGATACTTGCTGGGTACATATTGTTTATGTACTCATACTACGCTTCTGTACTTAATTGTACAGGATCTGAGGCAGGTGCATCTAGCTACCCGTCCGGCGCGCATTCTTGATACTTGACCGAGATTTCACGGTGAGCTGACCCCTTCTGAGCCGTTCAGCAGCATGCCGGAGTCTCTCTTTTGTTTATTACTGTCTATTCTATTTCAGACAGTAGGATAGTCATATTTTTGTACATTCTACTAGTTGCCCTCGTACTTGGGACACTAGATCTTGGCACACACATTAGTAGACTATTATTTTTGGGTTGTAAAATTTATATTCATGATTCCTCCCGTGGTTCTTGCCTTGGTTGTCTTGTAATTTTATTAAGTACTAAATGCTTAAATTTAAGTAAAAATTGTTGTTGGAAATTCTTAAATAAAATGGAGATCACTAGGTGGTTCACAATTGGCTTGTCTAGCAGCGGATGCTGGACGCCATCACGACCTGACATAGAATTAGGTCGTGACAACATGGTATCAGAGCACTAGGTTCACGTAGGTCTCACAAGTTATGGGCAAACCTGGTAGAGTCTTGCGGATCGGTACAGAGACGTCTGTACTTATCTTCGAGAGGCTATAGTGTGTTAGGAAACTACTCTTTATTCATCTTCTATCGTGCAGTTGATGGCATACTAAATTTCCTTCTTCTATTCTCTCAAAGATGGTGAGGACGCGCACGACGGACGTTCCAGACCCGGGAAAAGCTGCTCCCCTCGTTGCTAGAGGCCAGGGGAGGGCACTGACCCGAGGTAGGGGACGAGGGCGTCCCAGAGCTACCCCAGTTGCACCACCGGCGGATCCAGCAGGGATTCCCATTATTGAGGAGCAGGGCGAGGTGCCCGCAGTAGAGCCTACCCCGGCGAATTTCATGATAGCATCGGGCTTTCAAGAGGTCATGGGTCGTATGCTGCGGTTCATGGATTCTATGACCCAGGCTGGTTTATTTCCAGCAGACCCAGCCACATCTCAGGCGACAGGGGGAGCACAAACCCCTACTGCTCAGGCTTCTGGGCATGCAGCCGCAGTGTATCAGACTCCGGGCACTACCCGCGGATGGGGCCCAGCCAGTTGCAGCAGTGGCACCTGAGCCCAGACCAGCTGCGGATGGTGATCTGCAGAAGTTATTGGACAAATGGACTAGACTACGCCCTCCTATCTTCGGAGGTGAGCGTCATGAGGATGCCCAAGATTTCATTGATAGGTGCAGGGATAGACTGCACAACATGAGGATATTGGAGTCCTATGGGGTTGACTTCACTACTTTTCAGCTGGAGGGCAAGGCCCGTAGATAGTGGCAGTCTTATGTTCTTGGCAGGCCAGTGGGTTCCCTCCCATCACTTGGGGCCAGTTCACACAGCTTTTCTTGGATAGGTACATTCCACCCTCTGAGAGGGAAGAGTTGCGGTATCGGTTTGAGCAGCTTGAGCAGGGTCAGATGTCAGTGACCGACTATGAGGCGAGGTTTTCTGAGTTGTCTCGCCATGCACTCATGATACTTCCTACTGACGCAGAGAGAGTGCGGATATTTGTTGCGAGGTTGCACTCCGGTATTAGGGCCAACATGGCCCGAAAGGTTGAGATGAGGATTTTTTATCAGCTGGTAGTGGAGATTGCTCGGAGGATTGAGGGCTACCGTCAGAGTGGTAGAGAGCAGATACAGTTGACAAGAGGGGCCGTTTCTCTGGAGAGTTTAGAGGTGCCCCGGTGATCTGTTCAACCCCTACACCACTACAAAGTGGCAAGAGCGGTCGATGCAGCTTTTACCCGAGAAGGTCGAGATTGAATCCACAGGGAGCTACAACAATGTTTGGAGTTGGATTTCTATCTAATCTAACAGTGCGTAGTGCTCTTGATTACACTTCCAATCATATTTGTTTGTTTGTTACTTCTCATTTTATGCTAATGATATGCGAAATTAAGCTAAGTATGAATGCTTGTAAGGTTTTCTAAATGGTTAACGAGGCACTAGGGAAGTGACTTTCTCCTAGTGAATACTTGACGGCTTCTAAAGCCTAAGGCAATGTGACTTTCTACTCACTCTATAACTCTCGGTAGCTTGAGTGACTTTGCCCTAATTGACTTTCTCAAGACCATTTGCGTGTCAAAATTATGCAAGCAATGTAGGCTCAAGTCGGGTATTACTATCTCTAGATTTAACCCTTTAATTGGGGCTATCAATCTCTTGAATATGCCCCAATTCCTTGTTGAACTGATTTTCCTAGACTCAAGCTCTCTTTCTCAAGAAGAGCCCAAGTCAAATAGGCATAAATTAGTGTTTGTAACCACTAATCCAACATGGATAACACAAATCAGTCCAAATATCAACCACCCATAAACATCTAAGCCTTAGAACAAAAGACCCATCAAATGCCCACACTAGGATTGAGCCCCAACCCTAGCTAATGGGTCTAGCTACTCATAATAATGGAAGAAATCAGATATGTAGATGAAGAATAACCCATAAAATATGATTACGAGCTAATATTTGAAGATTCAATGTTAAACCAGCTATAAAATTACTCAAAATAGACTAAAACCACTGTTCACGTGCTCAGCTAAGCTAAAGATACCCTAAAAATCTAAAAAAGAAGTATTTATACAAGGCCGAATTTTCTAGACAAAAATACCCCTGACGGAGGTACCGCGGACCGCGGAAAATGCACCGCGGCCGCGGTGAGGCTTATTGGCTTGAGTTTTCATTCTTTGAATCTAGCCACCGCGGACCGCATAAAATGCACCGCGGCTGCGGTGGCTTCACCGCGGACCGCATAAAATGGACTACGGCCGCGGTGCCTTGAAACTACAAAAGTCCTAAGCTCTCTGAATCTCCTCTCTGCGGACCGCAACAAATGGTGCGTCCGCGGTGAGGCTACTGCCGCCGCAAAGAATCTTCCGCGGACCGCACTGCTTAAAACCCCTAGGATTGCACCTCTCTGAACTTCTCCACCGCGGACCGCACTAAATGGACTGTGGCCGCAGTGGGTCTGTTGAAACTGGTTTTGACTTCTTGTCACTTTCTTGACCAAACCCTGCAAACAAGTACAACATGTAAGCCTTTGGGACTATTTGTATACATTTTTAATCCAAACTCAAGTAAAAAAGAGTATAAAATGAACTAGAATTCCTAGTTATCAATTCCCCCGAACTTAAGCTTTTGCTTGTCCCCAAGCAAACAAAATAAGTCCCACCTCCTTAAGAATAAAGCCAAGAAAATTCAGCCGACCTAAAGTGACCTCATCTAGCATCAATTGGGACTAACAATTGCCCTCAATTCAAATGAATCATTAACAACATTCAACCTTTTAAACATCATGGTTTTAGTGCGACACAAAAGCAACAAGAATTGACTCAACTCATCAAGGAAACTCTTTCTACCACTTTGGTCATTGTGGAACCCAAACTCACACTCATCACTCTCCCTTAAGCAAAACCTCACTTTTAGATTGTAGCACTCAGAACGAGGATTGTGGAAACACACTCATCTCTGATAATAGGTGAATTTAACTATAGTCACGCCTTAAATAACCACTTTCTTGTATAGTTTTGATGATAAAAGTGATAACAAAATGCTCTTATTAGTGCTTTTCATGATTTGCAGGTGATATATGATCAGGGAAGGCTAGGGAGTATTTTTGGAGTCAAAAATAAAGAAAAAGAGGCCAACTGTGAAATTCTCCAAGTAAACCACGCAAAATAAGCCTGAAGATTCAGAGGACTGGGTTGACCGCGGTAGAACCGCGGTGGAAGATAGCTGCGGATAAATTCTGATTCAGAGAAGGCATTTGGCCGCGGTTTGACCGCGACCGCGGCAGAACCGCGGCGAAAGCAGAAAACTTCAGGGACTAAAGTGTAAAACACGGGATTTTTAGACCTAAACCCTATTTTAAATACAAGACTTCGCCCAAGAGAGGCATGTATTGAATTTTAGAGTATCTTGGCAAGGAGAACAATTGTGAGAGATCACCCAAAACATCTTTCTTCTTTTCTTTGATTTTTATTGCTAGTTATGATGAATTCTATCTTAGTTTGTTTTCCCATAGCCATGAGTAGCTAAATCCTGTGTCTAAGGCTTTGATGGAACCTATTGGGGGATGAACATCTTGTTTATGTGAATACAAATTGCTAGTTTCAATCTCTATTTGTTCAACCTTGTGTTTGTTGTAGTTAATTGACAGGATCCTCAATTAGTTGTGCCTATTTAGTGTGCATAACTTGGAAAAGAGTGCATATTTAGGTTATTGTTGAACAACACCACTCCTAAAGTATAAGAGGAATCTATAATTGCGGGTTTAAAGGCGGGATTAGGGATAACGAAGCCTTGGGTGTAATCTAAAGTGAATTGTGCTAAATAAAGTAAGCTAGTGTATCTCGGGAGAGTGCAATTAGTATATTACTGTGATTACTCGGGAGAGATTTACGGTAAGATGAGCGTTCATGATTAATAGAGATGTGTTGGTAAATTTGTATGAGCATAAACAGAAGGGATTCTTTCAATAGGGGAAATCATTGCCTTAGCTTCTTCTCATTATTGTTTACAACCTTAGTAGTTTAGTTTACAGCTGTTTAATTTATTTGCAATCGTAGTTAGTAAAGCGACCTTCCACTGTGATTCAAACATCTGGGAAACTGGTTCTCAAGAGTTTAGTGGGTTTAAAGATAGTGATTGATAGGTTAACTCTCTGTGGATTCGACCCTGGGCGTAATACTCGGGTTATATTTGCAACGTCCGCAGAGTCCTTTTTAGAGGGCATAGTTGGGCGTGATCAATCTCTCTCAAAGAAAGGTCACAAGTCCGGCTCTAAGTACCATAAGTTTGCCCCTTATGTGAGTCACCACTAATGTAAGCTTAAAGATAGATAGTTATGATCTTCAAACATTAAAAAAAATATCTTAATAATGTTAAATTCTTCTCAATATTTACGATTGCGCTCTTCATATTTTTTGCCTATTTCACATCATATTACATGCTTTGGTATCCAACATATGCTACGTGACTCATGTCCACAAGTAGAAATTAATGTATAGAAGGTGATGGACAATGTAATATTACAAAATTTAGATTTTGCGTTCTTCTCAGTTTTGCCAAAGTGATATGCACAATTATTACCTTGTCTCAACATGTGAATTAGAGGAATCTCAAGTTCGTACCTGAGATGCCTACATTCTTCTATCACAACACGATTAGGGCGAATTTCGATGATATCTCTCATGCTTAATTAGCAGCATCAGAGCGTCACTCGAGTCAATTTCAATAATAATTCCTTGAGGCTGTAATTTTTAGCTAGGGTTAGACAACCTTGTATAGTGTATGAATCTGGTATAGAGATTGATGTTGCTTTCGTACTGAGTCACCTGTAAAATCCGCCTAGCCTCATTCCCTTGTCATCTTATGCAATACCTCCAAATCTGAATAATCCTTAATTAGACATGAAACTCCCATTCGTTTTGATCTTGATAAACCCCGGGGGGGGGGGGGGGAACCAAGTGATGAAAATAGATGCATCACACTGCTTTTTGAATGTGACTAACTCGAGGTGTAACTTTATAAAAGAAAAATGAAATACTTTGCCCATGAGAATAAGGCACATGTAGTTCCATGATTATGAGGAAACTAAATTAATTGGGCATTGGTTGCTAAATATGAAATGAAAAATAAATAAAGTGAAGACTCTGACAATAAGTATCAATTTGGGTGTCAATGATTCTATTTATATCAAGTATTGCATGTAGTAGTATTTGTCAGTTTAGTTCGTATTTCTCAAAAGTTAGCTATATTTAAGGCATGAATACAAGATCTTTTAGGAAGTGTAATTTTT